AAAACCCAAGAAATGTATACTTGTGGTTGAATCAAATATTTAATGGATGTGTACGTTTTTGATACAAAATGTGAACAAACGGATAACCACAAAAAGATTGTTTTCTTTTAAGTATTTGAGATATCTTTTCTTCTCAAAATAATCATATAAAAATCCATTCTTTGTAAAAATTGTTCGCTACAGCATAGATACCGATGACACAAAACATCTAGAGCTTTCTTTTCTACACACAGACACATAATATGTATATAAATATAAAATGTGATCATGGCTGTAATATGCTCAATGGGGCACATAAGACATGGGTTTAGCAAAAACCACTGTTGCTAAATAAATACTATTTCCAAGTCTGCACAGTTTTAAGAACTAAAGTTAGTAAAAACATTGATGAAGACAATTACAATGTACCAACAAAATGCATATATGAAACAAGTTCAGTTTTTTCAAATGAGAAATTTCAATCATTTTTTGTTGTTAGGAATTTTTGCTGTGTACAAATTTTGAAATTTTTGATGACTTGCGAAAATATGTTTCTCTCAAATCAATTTATACAGTAATCAGTTAGACATTTCAATTGTATATGAAAGACATAGTAATGTACATTCATTGATTCAATATTTTGCAATAAACGCTAGTTACAACATAGATTGTAGAATCCTTGGAACATGTTGAAGTACAAGAGTCTCCAACATGAAAAGTATTATAACATTTGATGTACATATTTTGTGCCAATCAGATGAACTTGCAGCTGCTCCATAAGTTTCTCCTCTAGCAAATCAATTAAATCTGAATAGTATTTTAAAAATTTCACGGTCGTATTAGGTTGTCCATCAGTTCAAACTCTTGGCCCCGGAACAACAGGTAGTGTTGTCTTAGGCGTCATCACCCCTTTGATGATAACATAAATAGATTTCCCAAGGACTTGTGTTTTTTTTTTCGCTGAATATAACTACTAAAATCACATCTTCATTGATAGAAAAATACAAAGTATTTTGATAGGTATGTCATGGCAGTGCCTGCAACCCAAGCAATCTAAAAGAGCTCTATAACTCCATTAGTGTGGAATAAAGCATCAAAGACATATAAATATAAGAAATACATATTCTTTAGAATGACTGATTACAGCAATATTCCAGTTTGAATCCACGAACTAAAAGTGCCACGTCAGATATATTAAAATTCACCATTATTGTACATTGTAAAAGGGATAAAAAGTACAAAGTTATTCGATATCAAATTTAGAATATAAATGTCATTTAAGTCTTTATTTAGGGTATATAATATCAAGGCACAGTTTATTTACTTTTTTTAAGAGAAGAATCATGCTGTTTGTATCACATTCTGTAATAAGAAACATAATTTTGTAATGCATTAATAGCTTTCATGATTCCTTATAAAAAATATGAAAAATACTGTTTTGTGTTAAATGCTCGTTATTATAAAGATTTTGTCCGATCAGTTCAACTGAATCAAGAATTTTTGGACAGAAATACAAAATCAAAATGTCAGTCATTTTGAATCAAAATAGGACAGAATGAAAATTCATTATAGCAATCGCTATCACAGTTGGAACCCAGAGCAGTCTCCAAGTTAAGGTCACCCTCAGATTTTGCGAGTCAGAAATTTGTTTTCAAGGTATCATAATGTTACTCACGTAAGTACATAGTAAAAATAGTAGAAACATAGAAGCTGGTAGTCAGCCATTTTGAAATGGGCAGTTGCTAGGTGGCAGGCTACACAATGCCTGGCGCGTATTAGACACATATATTAAAAAAAAAACATATAAGCCATAAAGTATAAAATACATCAGAATGCGGCATAACATTAAACTTACATGGTTACAATGTAACTTCATTTTTGTAAAAAATAAAAACAAAGTAATAAAATAAATAAAGCATGATGACTGAATACCCCTCTTCCTTCCTTCCTTCCCTCCCTCCTTTCTTACTTTTTCTACAAAAAACTAATACTGTACTGCAGTGTCAGTTGATGGCTGGAATGAGTATTCTACTTTATAGGGTAGTAATCTTCCCTTATATTCCTGGTTGGTATACTATACACAGTATGAAGTATCATACAATATCATCATGGGATATGGTTTCTCAGCGATTAGTTTAAAGCCAATGCCTTACGTTGGAGTGCTATGAAATGGCTACTTTGCATCACTGACTGTCGAATATTTTGAATATAATGTGTCATGGATTACTTCTGCTGAGGGAATATTCTGTCGACTGGTGTAGCTAATCCATGGTAGTACAAGCAGGAATCAGCAAATAGTTGGCACATTTGGCACTTTGAACATTTTATTAAGGCAATATTCCTACAGTTGGCAAGGTTCTATGGGTACATGGAAGCACATGTTGGCTTTATAATGGCGCTGACATTCATACATTGCGAGAATTCCTTGGAGCGATTCCTTTCACCACATATTCCAAAGATCTGTTGTAGATCTTGCAAATTATGTCATTCAGTGTTACATTTCATCAATGTAATTATTGTGGACACACATGGCAACAATACTGCAGAATATCACCGGAAAACATTGGATACACCATGTTTTGTAATAAATAGTACATTTAGAGTTCATTTGGTGGTCAAACAGTGTTTGTAACGACTCCATGTCTAAACAATAGCAAGAACATCACCAGCTGATAAGTCTGTAATGAGAATGATTACATAACATAATGAGATAATAAATAGGATCAAAGAAAGCTTAGAAAGAACTCCCATGTGTTGAGAGTATTGGAGACACATTAAAAATAATTCGAAATTACTTGTACTTGAGATATTGAAAACTGAAAACCAATTATGCAACTCAGAAAATTAATATGAACAGATTTGAATGTAAAACTAATGAGGTCTGTGCAATGTAACAGAAAATCTATGTACCAAGTTTTATTGAAATGTGATTGGAACCAAACAAAATTATAAATTATTATGAACAGATTTTTACCCCAAACTAATCAGGTCTGTACATTGTCCTAGAGCATCTTTGTACTAAGTTTCATTGAAATGGAATAATTAGTACTTTAGATATAAGTGTGATAGCTTGGAATTGGTTAATTATGTAAATTAGGTAGTTAATATGCACATTTAGTTACCCTGAAAATAATCAGGTCTCTGCATAGTCCTTAGTCATCTATGTATCAAGTTTTATTGAAATGTAATGCTTACTACTTGAAATATCAAAAGCTGCAAATTAATTAATTATGCAAATTAGGTAATAAATATGTACTGATATTACCCTAAAAACTATCAGGTCTGCGCAGTGTCCTATGATATCTATGTACGAAATTTCATTGAAATCTCATGATTAGTACTTGAGGTATCAGTGGTAAAAAAACCGAAAATTGACTAATTGTTATGCAAATTAGGTAATTAATATGCACAGATTTTTACCAAAAACTAATCAAATCTGCGCATAAGTTTAGAGCATCTATGTACCAAGTTTCATCAAAATCCAATGAGTGGTGGTTTAGATATCAGTGGAACAGTCATGGAACAGCTAAAAATTAGCTAATTATCATGCAAATTAGATAATTAATATGCACGAATTTTTACCAAAACCTAATCAAATCTGCGCATTGGCCCAGAGCATCTATGCACAAAGTTTCATCAAAAACTGATGTATGGTTCTTGAGATAGCAGTGGAACAGACTG